AGCGTCAGCTTTGGAAATGACCGTCTGAAGAACGCGATTGATGTCGAGAATTTGCTCAGCGTTGCTCTCGTACTTTCTGCTTGAAGTGTGCAGTTCATCTGAACTTGCGCACTCAATCTTATAGATGCGAGAGAAATAGTCAGTGATTTCAGATAGAGAGTCCTGAAGGCAAGTGGTGTAACCCTCCTTGCCATATTTGTTGCTAGCAATGCAGGATGGAATCGGCGGTGGGGCAGCCCTAGCCCATTTAAAAAGGTTCCTGATCCACCCATGCTGCGATTGCCCTTTTTTCTGAATTTGTTGTCTCCATTTTCGCAGTTGGTTTTTGCTAATCTGTTGCAGCTTGTTCAAACTTTTTGTATGTAATGGCCAATCTTGTGATTGAATGGCTTGAGAAAGCTGCTCATGAAGCTTGTTATGTTTGAATTGATCCCGTAATCGAAAGCGTGGCTGCAAACCGACAACAGATCCTTCAGGATTGTGAATACGCTGTAGCGCTTCACACCATACATCCCAATCCTGATCCAGGTTCGTATCACAAAGGGAGGGACGATATGAAGCAAAAGCTTGTTGCCACTGATTCTCACAAGAACCCTCTTTCTTAAAGTCAATCTGATGGTAAATTTCCCAAGTTGGTTTTTGTTGTAAGCTGTTATGCATAGATGTGCTTAAGAAAGAATGTCCTTTGTCCAGAACATGCGTGTTCTGAATTGGGGCAACAGTTTCCTTAAGTAGATCCGTTACAGCAATGATATCAATGCAACTGGTGTTGCCGTTGCTGTGCTTATAAGTATAAAAGTCATAGTTCGTGTCATAAGTTAAGGGAAACCAACCTTTATCACTGATTTCCCGGGCAAAGGTACCGCTGCGCGAGTCTGCGTTGATGTCACCAAAAAGGATTCCGCTTTTGTGCGCGCAGTCTTCAAGAGCCTGCGACAGCTCTGCAAGGAACGGAGCACTGTTTTGCGTAGGCGCATAAGCGTTGAAACAACTGATCCATTTTTGCTGAGCGAAAATTTGTATAGCATGTAGACGTCCATTTTGTGACCATTTGCTCATGGAATCAATTGTGATTTCTTGCACAGGGATATGACATTTCACAGCAAAAGCAACACCAGGGATGGCTTGGTCAAGATGAATAGACTTTTTATTATGTCCTTGCGTTTTGTAGTTTGGAAGGACACCAACATAGAGATTATAGCCATATTGCTTAAAGGTTCTTCGTATACTAGGAAGAGAATCTTCACCAATACGAACCTCTTGAAGAGCTATAACATCAGCGTTAGGCGCCAACACTTCATGCACGTGCGGAGTGAGAGCATTCACGTTCCAAGTGCCGAGTGTGATCTTATCGGTTGCAGTCAGATTTTCGACAGCAACAGTGGTACGATGAAAAGCCTCTTCCCATGTGGAAGGGTGTTCACAACTGCTGCCGAGCTGGTTAGCGTTAGAGATCGCGCCGCCGCAGCAGCAAGCACCCCATTTTATTATGTCAAGGAGAAAAGGGGCGAGGTTCCAAACAAAGGATTCATGGATAATCCTTTGGTGGAACAAAACCTTTCATGATGCATTACTGGGATTGTTCACTAAACCGTTTCCATTGCTAACTCCTCCGGCTAGATTTTGTGCCGTCAAGGCTTGCACTTGAGCAGTGAGAGTTTGTATCTGCTGCAGAAGTTGTTGAATAGTCTGCTGTTGCTCACTATTTTGCTTCATCATGTCATTAAGCTGTTGCTGCAGGTTTGGGTTACCTTGTTTTGCAACATCCTCTCCAAAGTCGGACCAATTTTCAGAGTCTTCCCTTTGAATAGGAGCAACTTCAGGACGGTGTCTTTTGCGCGCAGCATTGTTGATCACATCCGCAAAAGTGGGTTGCGATTTGAGGCTGTGTTGTTGAAGTTTGCCGATGCGGCACTGAGCATTCCAAGTGGGGAAATGCATCACACTGTTCGTGGGAGCAGGCGGAGCTAGAGCAACTTTTGGTTTGCGAGCCGCTTCAATTTTAAGAGTTCGTCTTTCATATCCAAAAGTGATTGGGAATTGCCAAACTCTAGGATCTTCGCCGGATCTAACCAACCAAGTGTACCCCGCTCTCTTCCATCTTCGTTCACCTTCTTTAACCGTAGCCTTCCACTTAAGCTGCTGAATAGGGTTTTGGGGTACTATAATTACAACTAGAAACCCCCAAAATAGTAGTGGTATTTATTTAGGCCCCTATATTAGGGCTTCTGAGGCCAGCTAAAACTTGCATAAGGCTCTAATGCCCAAAAAGCAAGCCCATGAAACTCCAGGACTTCCCAGCACGGATCCTTAGGTCGTTGCGGAAACCCATTATTCCTATAAGTTTCGGGCTTAGGGTTACCATGACGGTTTAGGGCTTAGGGAAACTAGAACATAAACCCTAAAGCCTAACCCCTGAACCCCTAAACCCTAAACCCCTAAACCCTAAACCCTAAACCCCAAACCTCTAAGGGCCAGACATGGCTTTCATCTTCTCCTCCATCGGCGACGGCATGATGACCTAGGGAAGCTTGGCCCAGCCCCTTTAGGGTTTAAGGGTTTGGAGTTTAAGGTTTAGGGTTTAAGGGTTTAAGGGTTTAAGGGCTTAGGGTTTGGGGTTTGGGGCTTCAGGGTTTCGGGTTTGGGGTTTGGGGCGTAAGGGTTTAAGGGTTTCGGGTTTGTGGTTTGGGGCTTAAGGGTTTAAGGGTTTAGGGTTTGGGGTGTAGGGGATTGTGCTAAGCCCTCAATTCTCAGCTAGTGCTTTGAGCTCGCATCAGATTGTGGGCGCAAAGCAGTTCCATGTAATTAGGAAGCAGGGTTTAGGGTTTAGGCTTTAATGTAGGGGCCTTGATAATTAGAAGAGGGATTTGGGGCCCATCGTTCTATACTTATAATAAGGAGCCCGCAAAATACTTTTGGTAATTATTAACGCCCCTACACTATGCTCTGCGATGTTTTTCACGAGCCCGAAATCTTAACGCTCAGACCAGAACCCTAAACCCTAAACCCTAAAACCCTATAAACCCTAGAGCCCCAAACCCTAAAACCCTAAACCCCTAAAGCCCTAAACCCTAAACGCACCGACACCGTGAACTCCTGAAACCAGCCGAAATCATCGTAACCTCAAGAAGCTTCAGACCTGCCAACCCTCCAAGGACTAGGGTGTAAGGGCTTAGGGTTTAGGATTTATGGGTTTAGGATGTATGGGTTTAGGGTTTAGGGTTTTAAGGGTTTTGGGTTTCGGGTCTAGGGTTTAGGATTTAAGGATTTAGGGTTTAAGGGTTTAGGGCTTTAAGGGTTTAGGGTTTAGGGGGTTTAGGGGTTTAGGGTTTAGGGTTTAAGGGTTTAGGGTGTAAGGGTTTAGGGTTTAGGGTTTCAGTCACTGACATTAATTAGGATGCTTGGGATCCTAACTAATGGCACGAAATGTGCTACAGAAGCATCTATATGCAGACTTCATGCAATGGCGCCCCATGAGGAAGGCTTCACATGAAGCTGCACAGCTCTGAAGAGTAGCTTCGGGCAATTGTGCTTGGTTTGAAGATCAACGTGTCCGAGCCACAGAGAACGACGCAACGTGATTCTTCTTTTTAATGCCCCCTCCAGCCAAACAAGTGCTGCTGCGACACTCTACAACATAAACTAACTAGATCGGTTTCTAGCTCACGAGCATAGTCATCACAAAATTCGAACATAGTTACCTAATCTGGTTTTCCTTGGGAGTTTCGGGGATAAGGAGGTGCCTATCCTAACGGATCCATCAGGGTGCTCATGCTTTGCGATTATTATTGTTACCATCAAGTTACCGTTGCTGTGAAGGCCTTCCGTGAGCTGTGGAGAAAGCATGAGAAAACAGTATGTCACAATAGGCTGATTTTCGGGAATGAGCGGCACAAAGTCCTGACACGGACGGTGTGTTGCATCACCGGGCTCTTCCATACAAGTTTCGCCAAAGCGACGGCGCAAGGGCTGTTGGCGGCTTGGTCGAACCTCCTCGCTGCCGGTCCGGGTGAAACTGTGAAACGGCGTTGTGTCGACTACGAAAGCCTCTGAAGCAAGAGGATCCAGTCTCTGGGTAAAGCCCACGGAGGTCGAGGTGCACTTCCCGGTAAACTGCCCTGATTATCCCATAGAGACTCATGAACATGCTGATGCTGAACTGGGTTGCGGCACCACTGCTCAATGAAGTCAGCGCTGTACCTTGTATGAGCATTGACAAAAAGCTCTCCATCAGCTTCTCCGACTGCAAAATCCGGAAGAGCACGTCGGTGCAATATCCCAGTTTTAGAGACTCTCTGACAGAGGAGGCAACTGCAACGCCAACCCCCAGCTGCTGCAGTGAACTTAGCAAGAGTACGGCAGCCTGGCAACATGCCAGGATATACTGATGGCTTTGAATCAGTGTGGCGCAGCAGCTCGCATCGAGCCCCACGTCGATCACAAGGAAAGCGATTTCGGAGAGTATACTTGCTCGTGATGAGCATCTCGGAGTGCTCGCATCCTCCGATGTTTCCATGCAGCGTAACATCCTCTGAATCTCGGACTGGACCTGAGCTTTCAACTGATCCTGATCAGGCCTCATGACAGCGAAGAGTAGATAGAGACAGAGCCACAAGGGTGGCGCGATCACGGCGCAAAGGACCACGCTGGTGCGCTGCCGCAAGGCATGTGGGGCACCATCGAGACCCATGGAGCAGAAAACTGGCCCCAAACTGTAGCAAAGATTCCTGGGCTGTGATTTCACGGCGCCGAGAATGGTATTTATGAATACCTCTATATCATCATACAGGAAACTGCATTTTTGGGAAAGATATCCCAAAACTAACCCTGTATAAACCCTAAGCCGTGGTAACACAGCGAGCGAGGTTCGCTAAGCTGTTCAGTAACCAACTGGGAAAAAGGATATACTTCTTTGGGTTAGTTATATTATATTAGGAAGCAATACCCCAAAGAAGTAAAAAAGGATACTACTGAACATCCTAGTTCCTATGAATGCCGGCGTTCTGAATGCAGTGGCAGGACCGGAGCCGAACGAGGCAGGCCTCAGCGCCCTCTGCCTCGGGGGCCCAGAGGACTCTTAAAAGCAGGGGGTTTAGGGTTTAGGGTTTAGGGTTTTAGGGTTTTAGGGTTTAGGGTTTAGGGTTTTAGGGTTTAGGGGGTTTAGGGGTTTCGGGCTTAGGCGGCCTTATACCACTTACACGATGAATCCCTAATCAGCTATGGAACTAAGCAGAGGCCTTATACCCCTACACCATGATACCCCCAAACCCTAAAGCCTAAACCCTAAACCCCAAACCCCTAAACCCCTAAATCCTAAACCCTAAAATCCTAAACCCTAAACCCCTAAACCCCTAAATCCTAAACCCTAAAATCCTAAACCCTAAA